TCCACAATTTCTACACTCACATCCTTCAAAATCCTTTAATGTATCTCATCCGGTCTCAGTGCCTTGTTAAGTTTAAGCTGCAACAACCTATCAAAGATTTCTTCTTGATTAATTTTTATCCCTTCCAGCACTTCCTCAGTTAGAATGGCCTGGACACCATCCTCCTCTTTTGTAAAGATAGATGTAAAATATTACCGCAACCATTCCTCCGCCTCATCCTGTAAATCTCTTTTTTTGGTCTCTAATCAGCACCATTCTACCTTTAACCACTCTCTTACTGTTTGTGTGTCTATAAAAGGCTTTTGGACTTCATTAAATGTTAACTGCTAGGCTTTTCTCCTAAATCCTCTTCGTTTTTCTTATTTGGTTTTACACCTGTCCCCAAACCTTCCATATTTCTCATTTTCTGGTCTTTTTCTGCTTGGCAAGATGTAATGAGCAATGTGTTGGATGATCTATGCGAAGACTTCAACTTCTTACAACTGAAATAAATGACTTAGATTAAACGGTCGCAGGTCGCATTTGCTAATGACACAAGTTAAGTCGGAAAGTTGCCAAGATGATAGTAGACTACAAAGGGATGGACTGGTTAGATAGATTTGTAAGTGGGCAAAGAGCTAGCAAATGGAGAATATACATGGGGAAAATGTGAAATGCCTGTCAACATAGGAAATGGATTTCGAAGATGATTAGTGGCATATTTATAAGAAGAAAAACTTCTAGAGCTATGGGGAAACATGACAATGACATTGCTGAGCTGCTATCACAAAAAGTCAGCAAGTACACATCAGGGCAAATGGCCTCTGGGTTTGAGTGTGATTTATTGTTTTCACTATACTTGGGTACATATGACAACTGTTGTTTTGTGTTCTATACAGGCAGATCGTACCATACAAAGTGCATCAGGTTAGAAGAACACAGTGCAGAACACAATTTAACAGCCGCAGAGAGAGATCAACGTTAACATTTGAGAGGTCTGTTCAAAAGTCTAATAACAGCAGGGAATAAGCTGTTTTGATTCCGTTCATACGTATATTCAAACTTTTGTATCTTCTGCCCTCTTCCATCGAGCAGAAGGGAGGGGACTTTGTTGGTGCTTCCCCAAGTCAGCGGGAAGAGTCTGTGCATGCACAATCAATATTACACATGCACATGCAGGTACATCGTTGCATGGGACCATTTCTGGTGTAGTGCATCGGATAAGCGGAATTCTGATTTAATCACAGCCAATTCAGCTGCACATTTGGTGCCGATTGAAAGAGATAACACAGTGTGGAGCTGGATGAACACAGCAGGCCAGGCAGCATCAGAGGACCAGGAAAGTTGATGTTTCGGGTCAGAACCTTTCTTCAGAAATGGGGGAGGGGGAAGGGAGCTCTGAAATAGAGAGAGAGGAGGGGTGGGGCTGGGGAAGATAGGTGAGATGGTGATAGGTGAGTGAGTACCTGGTTTGCTTGAATATGTGGTCGAAGAGTTTCAGGGCCGAAGAGATTACCGGAGGGTCGCAGTGGGAGAGAGATCCACTGACGTCATTCCGGAGGAAGGGGGACAACTTCTTCAAGGTGGGCATCCTTGGAAGAGGCTTCTCAGTGAGGCTATAACTCACACAGAGATAGCAAGAACTGCCGATGCTAGAGTCAGAGATAACACAGTAACATCAACTTTGCTGCTCCTCTGATGCTACCTGGCCTGCTGTGTTCCTCCAGCTGTACACGGTGTCATCTCTGACTTCAGCCTCTGCAGTTCTTACTATCTCTGGTGCCGAGTGAAGACTTTTCTGGAGAGGGTGAAGTTTGCTGTCTAGGAATTATATCCACTTAGCCACAAGTCCCGGTCGAGCCAATGATATGAAACAAGTTAGGTAAACTTTGAAACCATGAAAACAGGCAGTAATATTTCTTTGTAAAATGCAGTCCCAGAGTGATGGATTGCACTCCTGAGATTGTAGATGTATTGCTGCCAGTGTTGTTTCTGTCCCTCTTTCTGTCAGAAATCACACGACACCAAGTTATAGTTCTACAGGTTTATTTGAAAACACAAGCTTTCGGAGCGCTGCTCCTTCTTCAGGCGTTAGCACTAACACCTGAAGGGAGGACTGAGGCTCCGAAAGCTTGTGTTTTCAAATAAACCTGTTGTACTATAACCTGGTGTTATGTGATTTCTGACTTTGTCCACCCCAGTCCAACACCGGCACCTCCACATCATGGACACCTCTTTCTGTCCACAAGCTGAGTCTAACTCTACCTTGCCTGACTGCTCAAACAGCAGCAACCAGCAGTGTGATCATATGGTCAGCACTATCTTTATGGTTGGCAGCTGCAGCTGTGTCACTCTGACAGTGACTAGTGTCTCTGCAATACACCGTTGCCAATAATAAATGTGGCCAGTTTAAATAGCACACATATACAATCTCCATCAGAAAAAACACATGCATCAGAAGCTACTAGGTTAGAGAGTCAAATGTTTCGCCAGAGTTATGTTTTATGAAGCATTTTAAAAGGAAGGGGAAAGGATGCACAGGAGTCCAGAATTGGAGGAGCATGGAAATCCTAGAGGATTGTAGGGCAGAAGGAGGTTATAAAACAGTTGAGGGCAATCTGAGTTAAAGACCAAGCAATGGAAGATGTACACAACAGGATATAGACCCATTGCCACTTTCAAGTTTTTCACGTTTCACAGCTAGTACTAATGAAGAGTAAAGCTAGTGACAGAGGCTCTGATATGGTCAGCTAAGAACAGCGGGAGCTTGGCTGGACTATCTACAAATGACAGAGCCATAAATGATCTGGTCAGAATCATGTTTACCACCTCTTTCCCATCAAATTAAGCTTTTAACCAATTTAAAATTTCATTTCAAAAATATTTTTCCTTTGAGTCACATACTTTCATATCTTCACAGTCGCCAGACCACACTTTATTTATAAATACTGAACAATAAACAAGTCAGAAGTCGGAAGGTAATACTTTATTTTATTCCTTAATTGAGCCAATGATTCATGGTGTGTATTATTAGTCACTCAACTTTCTGTATGTAAAAGGCAATCTTAGGCCTTTAGAGCTCCAGCAATTAGTAAAACATCTATTTAATATAATCTTTGTGCTCAATTTGTCTGAAGTTCCAAAGAGCTGCAAGTAACAGGATATAATGTTGTGGAGATGAAGTGGTTGACATTTCCATTTCACGGTTATAAACAATTACAGACAGTCAGTTTAAATAGATTGCCAGGATAACAGATGCAGAAAACCAGAACTTGGCAAACATGAATGTAAATTGATATTATGCAGTAAAAAGTGATCCGCAGTTTGTGCTACTGTATTTTGTTCCCTCCACAGCCCCCACAATTTAAGTAAGGTTGGCACAAGTCAAGGGTTTGCAGATGACACCAAAATTGGTGGTATAGTAGACAGTGAAGAAGGTTATGTAAGATTACAAAGAGATCTTGATCAATTGGGTCAATTGGCTGAGGAGCAACAGTTTAATTTGGATAAGTGAGAGGTATTGCATTTGATAATACAAACAAGGACAGGACTTATACAATTAATGGTGAGGCCCTGGATAGCATTGTAGAACAGAGACTAAGGGGTTTAGGTACATAATTCTTTGAAATTTGCATCACAGGTAGACAGGGTTGTTAAGAAGGCATTTAACACACTTGCTTTCATTGCTCAGATGTGGAGGTGCCAGTGCTAGACTTGGGTGGACAAGGTCAAAAATCATACAACACCAGGTTATAGTCCAACAGGTTTATTTGAAAACACAAGTTTTTGGAGTCTTGCTCCTTCTTCAGGTGACAGTGACAGAGGTGGCATCTGACACAGATTTTAAAAGTAAAACATCAAAGAGTCATAGAACTGACGCAAAGGTATTGAACAAACATAAATGTCTGTTAAATCTTTAATCAGTTCAGAAGGAAATGCAGGTCTCCATTGATTAACAAATAAATCCCAGAATTTCTTTCAAGTCACTGCACCGAGATAACTAAAAGGTTTTATCAGTCTACCAGAGGTGCCACCTCAGGTCAGACAATGCATTTTAGGTGTGAGGCCTTGTTTAGAATCTCTCTGTGTTTTAACTTGGAGTCAGGCTGCTTTTTATTTCTAAAAGTAGGACTTTATAAAATGCCACACTGACTGTCTAAAAAGTATGTGCTTTTTGATCAAAATAGAATGTATCCGTAATTACAAATGTGCGAACGCAAATTCACCTCATGGATTTGTGTATGGGTGTGTACGTGTGCACACAAACACGCCCACAGTCTCCCTCTCCCCTGCCTTACAGACACATGCCCAGTCTCCCTCTCCCCTTCCCCTGCCTTACAGACACACGCCCACAGTCTCCCCCTCCCCTCCTTACAGACACACGCCCACAGTCTCCCTCTCCCCCTCCCCTGCCTTACAGACACATGCACACTCTCTCTCTCCCTCCACCACCCCCCCACCACAGACAGAAACTCCTCTCTCCACTCCCTCACACATGCTCTCACTCTCTCCCTCTCTCTTCCCTGGGTGTCTTTAATGCTTGTCCTAAATGACAGTGCACTTCCTAAAGAGGATAAATGTCAGGCAACAATCTCAAGGGACAATCTCCTCCTCAATCTCTGTCTTGCCCCTTAGCCATACCACATGGTAACTAATCATATGTAGCAGTTTCGCTGCATAATGCTTTACTAACCTAGTTAAAATATATGTTCCAAACTACCCATGAAGGTTTACACAGGAGCTTGACTTTTTTTTTTGTTGATTACTTTGCTACTGAACTTATTTTTCAAAGCTGGGTATAAAATGGAAATAAAATACACACCAGGTGTCAGACAGAGTAATCAGAGTTCAAAACTCAACCTTGGCTTCCTCAACTAAACAACAGCTGATTTCATGCAATGTGCAGCAAACAAAAGCAATGATAACTAAATGTCACATTAGCTGATCCAATGCCCTTCTCCAAGCAGCTGATCACAAATTGGTTGAGCCCATACTGGGTGATGGGATTCTATGATACTTACGTAGAGGAGATGCTTGTTGGCACTGGATTCCTGAAGTGCATTGAAAACTTTAATAATTCCATGTCGTGCGTTCTGCTGTCCGACAAGATTCTGCAGTGCATCTGGGAAAAGAATACCAGAGGATAACTAATAATTCTTGGTTCATGGCACAGGATTTATGGTTGATCCTGTCACAACTAAGTGTGGCAGAAAAGAAAAAATTACTATTAGTAATAATTGTAATAAACCTGAGAGTTTCTCCCCTAAAGAGATGTGATGCACTGGTTAGGATCAATAATTAAAGACCACCTCTTTTCAATCTGTAGTTGTAACTAAATACAAAGGCAATTCACATGTTTATGTTCCATTTGTGTTTAATTATAGTTAAACATTGTTAAAGTTGAAAATACTGAATCAGGAAGACAAAGGTTGTGGAGGCAATGGCCTAGTGGTATTATTGCTGGACTGTTAATCCAGAGACCCAGGTTATGTTCTGCAATGGGGTTCAAATCCCGCAGATGGTGGAATTTTAATTCCAAATATTTATTGAATTCAAGATAATGACCATGAATCCATTGTCAATGGTCAGAAAAACCCATCTGGTTCACTAATGTCCTTTAGGGAAGGAAACTGCCATCCTTACCCAGTCTGGCGTACGTGTAACTCCACACCCACAGCAATGTGGTTAACTCTTAATTGCAATTAGGGATGGGCAATTAATGCTGGCCTAGGAGTGATGCCCTCATCCCATGGATGTATAAAAATAAACTGAAGAATGGATATGTTTCCATTTCCATTCCCAAGCCAAGGTATTCCTCAGCTGAGAGTAAGCTTTGTAACCACAGGCCAGCCATTTTATATAGTCTGCGAATAGCCAATCATATCTTGACCTGAACCTTAACGACATCAAGCATGTGACTCCCTAGGTTCACTTGAATGAAGGGAAGACACTATGCTTGAAATGCATCAATTTACAGAACAATATACTCATTTACCAAATGAGGTTATCTACCCGATTCGGAGATGGGCACTCAGAGCAACTGTTGAATTTTGAACCAATTTATGTCACCATATAAACATACAGATTCATTTCACAGGGATGGATATCAGGAAAAAGGACATGACCCCCTGAAATACCTGTCCCTCGATTTCTAAACTCTCTTGAGTCTCTCCAAATAACATCAGTTCCAAAATAATATGTCAATGTCCCTCATGCAACACTGATTGGACAAGGAATCATTTACATCTCTTCTCCCTTTTAAAGATTATGGCAATAAAACTGGCTAGGTCTCCTATTCACATAAGGTTTAGCCTCACGAGAAAAGGCTGTGTTTTAGTCCTACTCCTGTGTGAAGAATAACAGAAGCAGTTTGGCTGCCAACACCCTGCTCAACCGTGCACAACAATGCTCCTCAAAGATACGCAATGCATCACTGCACACAAGACAGTGTTAGCTGTATATCAGGCACACAGAATCCACAGTGGTTATTTACTCAACTGATGAGAATCAGCAAGGCAGGTGTCTGTTTGTGCCTCAACTATGTGGAGTTTGTACAGGCACAAACATTGCTAGCTACATGCCAGTCAGAGAGGGGAGTCAGTGCAGGAACCAGAACTCTCATTCTCAATGTGGAATTTGCAAGGTGGCTAAAGTGCATTTCCAAAGGAAGCAGATGGGGACATGGGGAGCAATATCAGAATATTCATTTCACCAGTGGATTAAATTAGACAACTATCTATAAAAAGGCAGAACACCTGCAGTGCACTTCCTCTTTAAGAAACAAGAAATCTTTAACGTCTAAAAACCACAGCCAGTCTAATATAGTAATCAACAGTTAATGTTTTTTTATCCGGTTGTCATATTACTAACTCAAGATATACTGCAGCAGTCCAGTTTCTGCAGGGAGATGGAAAAATTACGTTTTTGTGCTGAAGACACTAAGCAAATATGACAGTCACTGAATGATAGTTTTCACATGGTAACATTTAAATAATGGACTAAACATCACTAATATCCAGGGGTTGGAATTTTCTGGCATAAAAATTTTGTAAACAAATTGAGCAGTATAAGAAAAGCTTTGCTATGCAAAAAAAAATCCCTATTCATCCTAAATAATTTTATAACAATTCTCCGTTTCAATTATCATTAAAGGATGGCAGAAATAATCTAAATTTTTTGGTTACAATGTCATTCCTCTTCCACGGTCATCAAGATTAATAATACATTGCACCTTGGATGACAAATCTGGTCAGCCAGCAGGACTAATTTATTTTAGCGAGAAAGTCAAAATCAATTACATGCAGAAATTCAAAATGAATTACGCACAAGGGTTTTATGCAATGCATCACTAGTTATACCTGGAATGTTATCGAGCAGTTTCTGCTGGGCTTTGTGCTTTGTCTCCAATCGCTGTTGCTGTGTTCTGGCAGCTGTAGGAGGTGCTAATTTACCATTTGGCCAGAACGCATCTCGAAAGAGATTGATGTAGCAAACTAACATCTGTTCACTGACCATCCAGTTGATTGTGTCGCGAATTTGCCTAAAATGAATAATGCACATTATCTGGTAATTGTCAAACGTTTCCGACAGCCTGATAACTCAAAATTTTTCTTACAAAATTATTTCACGGGATTTCAGCATAGCTGACAAGTCCGGCATTTTTGCTTGTCCATTATTTCCCTTGAGAAAGTGGATATGAACTTTGGCAGTCCACCTGGTGCAGGTGCACCTACAGGACCATTCAAAAGGGAATTTCAGCATTCTGACCCAGTGACAGCGAAGGTACAGTGATACAGTTCTAAGTCAAGATGGTATCTCTCTTGGAGGCAAACTTGCAGGTGGTGGTGTTTCCAACATGTCTGCTGCCCTTATAAATGGTAGAGTTTGCAGCTTTGGAACATTCTGTTGAAATAGCCTTTGCAGTGCAAATATTATTAAAATCTACATTATTGAAGGGACTAGGTTTATTTTAAGAATTCAATCTGTTCCAATGAATGATGCGTTACTGCCATATGAAAGTCTTGTCCTGTAAACTTCTAATGTGAAAGTGATAGAGAACAATGGTAAGTGGCGATTCTTCTGCAATGGCTAGCTTTTGTCATGCTTCACTTCATTCTGTAACATTTTGCTATATGCTGAAGCAATATTGTACACATTTGAATGACATTCATGTGAAATTGTTTTTATTCATTGACAGGAAATGGGCATTATTTTTCAGACCATCCTTTTTGACAAGGTGACTTACTATTTCAGAGGGCAGCTCAGTCAACCACGTTTCTGTGAATCTGTGGTCACAGACTTGGTAAGGAAATAAACCTTCCTTCCCACCAGCACATGAGTGAACCAGACAGTCTTTAAGTTATGTTTACTACTACTACTGTGCCTAGCTTTTTTACATTCCAGGTTTTTCCAATAGAATCCAAACTCCCCAGCTGCTGTGGTAGGATTTGAACTTGTATCAATCACCCTAGGCTGGCGCTTACTTTTTTTTTTGTCAGCTGGGGCTTACTTCTGAATCAGACTGTTCTGGCTTCATGAGCCAGTCCAGGGCTTGGGCATAAAACTCAAGGCCCACACTCCTGTGCAGTACTGAGGGGGCACTGCATTGTTGGAGGTGCTGTCTTTCACATGAAGCAACAATCACTGCTCTTGAATATTGCTTACTCAGGTATTTCCAAGAGAAAGGGAGTTAGCATTTATCCCCCAGTGAACATCACACTATTCAAATAAAACACAGTCAATGAATCACCTAAAATGGGCTAAAATTGTTCAATTTTGCTTTAAACATAAAAGTCAAATAGAAAAGATTAAAATGCACTTTGAAAATTACCGTGTCCTTAATGCAGTTGCTGTACTTTAATCAACTCTAGTCACTTGTCAAGTCTGGATTCCATTGTCAAATTGTTGCACAAAGACTGCTTTGATTAACTGACTGTGAAGGTCATGTATTTCACAGTGTAACGTCACTTGCTATTTAGTTCAGTACAGTGCATCTAATCTTAGCGAAGCTAGAGAAACTCAGCAGGTCCAGCAGCACCTGTGGGCAGAAAATGGAGTTGATGTTTCAAGTCTGGTGTCTCCTCATCAGATCCGCTAGGTTTCTCCAGTGATTTTCTGTTTTTGTAATCACATTATTAAAAACAGATTATCTATTTATCATCACATTGCTGTTTGTGGAGTTTGCTGAACATGTACTGCCAACTGTGTTTTTTCACAATACGACAGTGATTGTACTTCAAAAGTATTTAATTGGCTGCAAAATGCTTTGAGATGCAAACCATTCTTTTTTCATTAGTCTCAGCATTTGGTCCAGAAACTACCATTATACTACACTACCAACAAAGTAATGGTCACAAGCAATATTCTGAACTTCCCAAAACATACATTCCATATTTACTTGGCTTCTAGCTCATCAAGTGACTGTAAAAGCATTGACAAAAAGTAATTAAAAGTGGAAAGGTTACAGATTTGGATATGACATTTACAAGTCCCCAGTGCAGTTTGTTCCTCATATGGATACTAAGATTGTACTGAACTAAATAATAGCAAGTGACATTATGCTGTGAAATAAATGACCTTCACAGTGAATTAATCAAAGCAGGCTTTGTGCAACAATTTGACAATGGAATCAAGACTCGACAAGTGACTAGAGTTGATTAAAGTAGAGCAACTGCATTAAGGACACGGTAATTTTCAAAGTGCATTCTACTCTTTTCTATTTGACTTTTAAGTTTAAAGCAAAATTGAGCAATTTTAGCCCATTTTGGGTGAGTCACTGACTGACAAGCTGGTTGGCACACATGAAAATCCACTTGTTCTGAACAGTCAAGGCTGAGAAATCTCAAGGTGCATATGGGTATGGCAACTGTCCAGTACAAATCACTAGTAAGCTTCCCCTTGTTCAATCAATTCAGGCTTTAACCCAAATTCTTTAAAACCCAAGCCATGAGAAGTCTTGTCCATAGTGACAATCTATCCTTATGTAAAACAAAAGAACTGTGAATGCTGAAACTGTGAAACAAAACTAGATAAAGCTGGAGAAACTCTGCAGGGCTGGCAGCATTTATGGAGAGAAATTAGTGAAACTTTCAAGTCCAGTGGCCCTCCTTCAGATCCTTCTCCATTCTGATGAAGGGTGACTGGACTCAAAAGGTTAACTCTGCTCTCTCCCCACAGATGCTGCCAGACCTGCTGAGTGTTTCCAATAATTTCTGGTTTTGTGAAAATCTATCCATCCTGGATTCATCAATTACTAACAGCATACTGAAGTACTCCAAATTGTCTGGGTCAGGTACTGAATGACCAAATCTCTCACTAAGGAGTCATCTTGGTTCTAATGCATAGATAGGGTTGACGGTCAGAATCTTTTTCCCAGAGTTGAAATGTTTAATACCAGGGGACATGCATTTAAAGTTGGAGTGAAAGTGCAAAGGATACTTGAGGGGCAAGTTTTCTTTTTTTTTTTTAAAAAACACAGAGTGGCAGGAGTCTGGAACGCCCTGCCAGGGGTAGTGGTGGAAGTAGATACAATAATGACACTTAAGGGATCTTAAAGCACATGAATATACAAGGAATGGAGAGATATGGACGCAGGGCAAGCAGAAGGGATTAGTTTCATTTGGCATCATGTTCGGCACAACATCAGGAGCCGAAGGGCCCGTTCCGGCGCTGTACTGTTCTATGTTGTAATCTTCCAGGGCCAAATACATCATCTTGGAACCTACTTGACCCTAGGAACTAACTAGTCTCTTTCCCTCATAACACAAAGGTTTGATAGACAAACATCAGATACTAAGAACTAAGCAAGATACTAAGCAAGCAGCAAACTGAGCAGCATAATTTGCCACAGAATGCAGCAGAAATTCATTCAATACAATCATGACCCGATTTCAGGCTTCAATTCCACTTTCCCTACTACTCCGCATATCCCTAGATTCCAAGAGATCAAAATTCTTTTGAACCCAGCCAATATGTATTCAATGATTGGGATAAGGGGAGGCAATGGCCTAGTGGTATTATCACTAGACTGTTAATCCAGAGACCCAGATAACGATCTGGGGACCTGCATTTGAATCCCGCCACGGCAGATGGTGGAATTTGAATTCAATAAATATCTGGAATTAACATTCTAATTATGACCATGAATCCATTGTTGATTGTTGGAAAAACCCATCTGGTTCACTCATGCCCTTTAGGGAAGGAAACTGCCATCCTTACCTGGTCTGGCCTACATGTGACTCCAGACCCACAGCAATGTGGTTGACTCTTAACCGCCCTCTGGGCAATTAGGGATGGGCAATAAATGATGCCTGCCCAGCGACACCCTCATCCCGTGAATGAATAAAAATAATCCACAACCCTCAGAGGCAGAGAATTCCAAAGATTCACAACTCAGTGAAGAAATGTCTGCTCATCTCAGCTCTTTTCTAAATGATTGTCTCTTTATCAAGAGACTGCACCCCTTTGTTTCTGCTGATCAGGGGATTTGAAATAATCTCTTGGTGTCCACCTCATCAAGCCTATTCAGAATCTTGCATGGATTCACATCACGGTTCACATCATTAGGATTTTCCTTGATATTTAAAAAATATTTTGCCATGTGCCAAGGCCAACACTTGTTACCCACCCCAGTGACTGATGTGGTGAGAATTACAAGTCCTACTCACCACAAAAGCATCGAAATAAAGCAAACCCCAGTAAAATGCGGTTATCAGCAATTAGAGGTCCAGCAGTAAAATTTCACCATCTCAATTACAATCCATTTCAAATTCTGGATGCACAAGTGAGCGTTTGTATATCCAGAATCCAAACTGCTCAGTTACTGCGATTCCATCTATCAGTATTTTCTCAGTTATAAAGATGGAAATCAGAAGCTCACTGTATGCAAACAATCTCAAAAGGTGCCAGACACCTCAGTCCAAATCCAAAATGTACTTCCCACCAACAGCTTAATCCTGCCTCTCATGCAAAGAGGTTCTGTTAAAGACAGTCATGAGGTTGACTTTTCCTTCGGGGTCCTGAACAAAAATTCATCATTCCCATACCCAACTTTCCAGTTTTCCAACAACTTAAAGTGCAATGCACCTGAATATTTTGCATCGTCTGAAAAACAAAAAAAAGGTCCTTCCACTAAATTTCTGGAATCCAAACCATAGCAGAGACAAGGCTAGCCATTGAACATGTATGCCACATCTTGTTGAAGGAAAGTGGAAAAGAAAACTACTTACTTGTTGATTGTCCTTCCAAAAGTAACTTGTACTAGAGCAATAAGTGTCTTCCTGACCCACTTAAACACTGTAAAGCAGAGGTTAACAAAATGAAACACACATTTAAAAATCTAGATTGTAGATAGTTTGATTATTAATAGTTTGCCTTCTTCCCAAAAAAATGTGAAGCAAATCTGCGCTCTGCAAGGAAACATTGGAAATCATTCCGTGACTTCATCAAATATTCTTCATTTAGCATTTAAAGCATTATCTACATACAACAGAAGTGAACTCACACTAACAGGAAACTCACAAAGGTCACAAATTTCTTTAAGACATTTTCATTTCTCGGATGTCTCACAAATCTTTACACTGTATAGAGGATCTCCCCAGGATTGTTGACAACAATCCTTTCTTCAAAGGAGATAGGATATGATTCTACAAGATGGACAATATGGCTTGTTAAATGGGTTATGGTCAGCATAATAATCATCCAGGATTTTGCTTTTTTAAAAAAAAAAAAGTTCTTCAGCATATGTAAACTTCCTTTTCATATTACGCCACATACACAGTCATGAAAGCAGAAAAAAAGCCAAGGGCGAGTAATAACTTCAAAAGTACCCCAAAAGTCCAATGATGTGAGAAAGTAAGCAGTGATGGGCATTTATAAATAAAGCTATAGGAGGGGGTCGGTTTGGTTCAGTTTGCTGGATGGTTGGTTGGTTGGTTGGTTTGTGAAGCAGTGTGATGCCGATGGTATAGGTTCAATCCCCACACCAGCTGAGGGTACCATGAAGGACTCTCCTTCTCAATCTTTCCCCTTGTCTGAGGTGTGGGGACCCTCACCACCAGTGGTCTCTCTGTAATGAGACAGTAGCCCTATGGTCTGGGAAGACTATGGCGACTTGAAAGCTGTAGGAATACCCAATAATCTTTCAACCATTTTAAATTCACCTCTCCAACACAGAAGAACAACAAATCTAAAAGGTGAAGGCACATAATTTAGCAGTGCATTCCTTAGGGGGTCCAGGTCTATACTCCCCCGGATGATTTTGAGGAGTCACCATCCAGTCGGAATAGCACCAAGGCATCAGGTGGTAAGTCTCAAGCAAGCAATAAGTCAAAGACAGCATGAGTGGAAATGGGAGAGAACTGGATGAAGCTAGAGGGTTAGGGCAGGGGCAAGGTGAAATGTAAAATTCAGAGGCCACTGATTAAGACTGCAATCGTTCAGTGACAAAAAAAAGGTCCATAATCCCCTCGTACTTGTTGAGGATTTTTTTATTCATTCACGGGATGAGGGCGTCGCTGGCTAGGCAGCATTTATTACCCATCCCAAATTGCCCAGAGGGCAGTTCAGGGTCAACTGCATAGTTTTTGGTCTAGAGTCACAGTAGGCCAGACCAGGTATGGATGGCAGATTCCTTCTCTAAAAGGACATTAGTGAACCAAACGGGTTTTTCATGACAATCAGCAATCCTTTCATGGTCATCATTAGATTCTTAATTCCAGATTTTTTACTGAATTCAAATTCCACCATATGCCATGGTGAGATTCGAACCTGGGTCCCCAGAACATTATCTGGGTCTCTGGATTAACAGTCCAACAATAATACCACTAGGCCAATGCCGCCCTGAGGCGAAGAGGCAAGGAAGATGATGAAGGCTAAGGAAAGCAATCAGAAATTATCTTAACAGCAACGGAAAATTTGAGGGGAACGATTATGTGGAATATGATCCAGCTTGTTCTGATGATGGATGTCTAATCTATTTCTGTGCCAAACACATTCGAATCTGCAGACCTTGGGTATGAAGGATCGAAGATGGAAACATTACTATCTACTCTCCAGTCAAAGATTTGCCAGGGAAAGGAATACCAAAGGGGTGGAGTCATTAAGCAATTTGCTGGCTGCAGCAGTATCATGGCAGAGTCAGAGCTAACGGCATGTTATATTCTTCTCAGAGTTACCTATTTAGATGACTTAAATGTATCCAGTGTAGTACAAATATTTGACATTACCTTAATATTGCTAGGTGACACTAATAAATGTACCTGTTATGGTAACAGCAAAAAGGGAGCTATCAATTTTCAACAGTCATCATTTGATTATGATATTTGAGACTGTCATGAACTAAAAGTGATTTTAAAACGACACTGCTAAAGTATAATGGCTGTTGCCATCACCTGACAAGCCCAGGCAAACCAAATGGAAAAGGCTGTCTGCATTGGAATTACCCTTTTAATCAAGAAGCACTTGAATTCAGCAAGACATCAAGAAATTTACATCTCATTTACTCACACTTGCTTGATAACTTCAGATGTTGAGAAAAGACAGGTTACCTACAACCTCCAGCATGAAATGAAGCAATGACACAAACACCAGAATCCATAAGGGAAGAGTACGTCAACAGTAGCCTTTCAGCAAAAAGGGACAGAAAGAAATATGGAATAAAAATGGCAAGAAGACTGAAAGTTCCTCTTCCTCTCTTTCTGGCTTATTCTCAGTCACAGAAACCAGCTGAAAACACAACTTGGAATTATCACTACGCAATGAGAAGGAAAGATCTGCAAACTTCACCACTGCTCAAGAAACAGGATAACACCTAAACAGTTGGACATGGGTCTTTCATTCTCGCAACTCAACGGGCTCGCAAGACCTGTAACTGCATTGGCCTTTACTTCTCATGTGTACTGGACACACTTTTTCTCTCCCACCCCATCCCTTCTTTCTAAACTCATTGCCTATATTTGTGTATTTGATGAAATTGTTCAAATAACAATTTCTCATTTCTGGTTGTAAGCTTGATGCTCATTCAATGGACTTCAGTGCCTAAACTATGCTGGCACTTCTGGGTATAGTAATATATTGGTTACATTATTTATTTGTCACCTAACTCTTGTGGCAATAAAAACCCTGGAAATAATCGATACATTAACAAGACCTATTGTAAGACCAAGAATTTGTAATACAGGAGTGCAACAGTCATGTTACTAGCTGGACTAGTTTAAAAGGCTAGAAGGTGCATTCAAATCTCACCTGAACAGTTACAGCAGTTGAGTTCAGCTAATAAAGGCCAGAATTAACTGTTCATCTCTAGTTACTCATAGAAGGCAGTGGTTTAAAAGAGTTACAGTTTCTCATTTTGTGTCAGAATGCAAATACAAACCAACCATGCTGAAGCATGCCTGAATTCACAGAGACTAGACTGGGTAAGATGTCCTTCCCTCAAGTATATCAGTGAATCAGTTAGGTTTTAAATGACAATTCACCTGATCCATGATCAAATCGAAAAAAATAAACTGGAAGTGAAAAGCTAGGCAGTAAATGCCACCAGGTAACTGGTGAACTGTACATTATGGCAGTGATGATTAGTCGTGTGTAGTAGGAACCAGGAGTGGGGAAGGGGAAAGAAATAAAGGTGCCATTGAGCAAAGTAGGAAGGTGTCCCTGAGAAAGGAAAGTGTTCACTGTGAACTTGAGGAGAAGTGTTAGCATAAGCTTTGCAACAGGAGGAAGGAAACACCATGTTATCATGATGATCTTACAAGTTAAGACAATTTACCAGGTAGGCAATAGATAGCACCAGGATTTAACTATAGATCTGACACTGGGAATTGCAGGATGGATTAGGTAACTGACCATGGCACTGGGTACAAGGAGTCATTCAAACAGGGTAAAAGAAAAAGCAAAGCAGTGTAGTAGGGAACTGTGTCGCAAGGGGGATTGACAATTTTTCTGTGCAGTTAAGAATGGCAGTCCAGAGCGTGTGTTACCAACACAGTGCCAGGGTCTGGGACATTAGCACAGGCTGGACAGGAACTTAGTGAGAAGGGGAGGTTCCAACTGGCATGATCCACATAGTTACTAATAGCATCGGCACAAGGACAAGGAAAGGGGTTCTGCTTCAACAACTCAGAGGTGTTAGGCTCCAAATTGAAGAGCAAAGCCTCAAGCTGATAACCTTTACATTAATACCCAAGCCTCGTGATAATAAAAACTCACCATGTAAGGGATTGTACACTGGCACGGACAGAAGATTGGCTGGCTAACAAGAGGTAGAAAGTAAGAGTAAATGGGTCTTTTACAGGTTGGCAAAACATAACAAATGATGTGCCACAGGAGTTCACACTGGAACCTCACCCGTTCCTCAAATGACTTGTATAAAGGAACAGATGGTATGGTTAACAAATTTGATGTCAACCCAAATATAGATAAAGTAAGTTATGAAGAGGACATAAGGAGGCTACAAAAAGATATACATAGATAAGTGAGTGCACAAAGATCTGTTAAATGGAGTATAATGTGAGAAATGTTAATTATCCATTTTGGTAGGATGAATAAATGGTGAGACATTGCAGAGTTCAGAGATGTGGAATGAACAGAGTGTCCTCATACATGAATTCCAATACTTTATTGTGCAGGTATAGCAATTAATTAGGAAACATACTAGGGTGTTACCATATATTGCAAGGAAAATTGTGTAGTAAAATAAGGAGGCTGTGCTTCAGCTATACAAGGCACTGGTTAAACTGCTCCTAGAGTACTGTGCACAATATTGGTCACTTTATTTAAGGAACGATGCAAATGAGTTGGAGACAATTCAGAGGTTTACTGGACTAATGCCTGGAATGTGTGGGTTATCTTATTAGGAAGCATAGGTCAGTCTAGATTTGTATTCGCTGGAATTTAAAAGTGTAAGAGGCAACTTGATTGAAATACAAGTTGTATAAAATTATGGAGGAGCGTAGATAAGAAACACAGGAAAAAAAATGCTTTCCCCTTAATGGAGGGACCAATGACCAGGGGCCATAGTTTTAAGATTGGAGGCAGAAGATTTGGAAGAAACGAGAGGAAAACCTTTTCACGCAAAAGATGGTGGGGATCTGGAACTCAAATCCAGCCAATAAAGGTAGTACAGTTAGAAACACTTATAATGCAATGGAGGTCTAGGGATGTGTTAAGAGGGAAGGAGGAGTGGACCAGGGTGTCCCAGAGAGAACGTTCCCTCTGAAATGCTGACAAGGGACTCCCCACAGTACCTTCCCATGCAATCACAGAAGGTGCAACACTTGCTCATTTACCTCCTCCCTCCTCACCATCCAGGCCCACCTTGCAGGTGAAGTACTGATTTAGCTGTACTTCATTCAAATCTAGTCTACCATATTTACTGCTCACAACATGATCACTTCTAGACTGGGGAGACTAAACACAGGCTAGATAATCGCTTTGCAGAACACCTATGTTCGGCCTTAGAAATGACCGAGATTCCAGTTGCTTGCCACTCCAGCACACCACAATGTTCCTTGGCCAACATTTCTCACTCAGGCTTGCTGCAGTGCTCCAATGAGGCTCAGTGCAAGCTGGAAGAACAGCACCTCACTTTTTGCTTGGGAACCTAGCAGCCTTCAGGATTCAAGATCAAGTTCAGTAATTTTAGAACCTGACCACCTCCTTCCATGTCCTTTACTTACCCTGGGCCTGGTCAGGACATGGGGTGCTTTCAGCACAACCAACCATCTGTCAACTATTCAGGGTCCCCATTATGAGCTTCTCTTCCTCCCTGGGTTACTATCAACCATCCCTTTGGCTGTCTAACTTACTTTCTCTCTCTCTCATCTTCACCTACACGCTCACTCCTTTTCCACCCCATGTCATCAGCATAGATGCCTTCTTTTCCCATCTACTATCAGTTCTGAAGTAGGGCTTTGTACTCGAGATGTTAACTGAGCATTCTCTTCAGAGATACCGCTGGATCTGTGCTGAGTTTCTCCAGCAATGTCTGTTTCTGTTTCAGATCTTCAGCATCTGTAGTTCTTTGTTTATTCTAGAACCATGGGTCACTGTTTAAACATTCGGGTCACCCATTTAAAATGGAGACAAGGTGACTTTTTTTTCCTCTGAAGGTCATGAGTTTTTGGAACTCTTCACATAAGGGAACTGCAAATAGAGTCTTTGAATTTTTTTTTAAGGCAGAGCTAGATAGATTCTTACTCAGCAAGGGGGTGAATGGTTATCTGAAATGTGGATTAAAGGTTACAAACAGATCAGCCATCATCTTATTGAATGCTGGAACAAGCCCAAAGGGCTGAATGCCCTCTTCTGCTTTTAATTCATTCATTTGTATGTTATTGCCGGAGGGAACATAATATTAGCAAAATGAATAGGTGTCTCAAAAACTGGGGTGGGAGAAGTGGGTTTTGTCTCTTGGGGCACTGGCATTAGTACTGAGGGGTGGAGGGGAGGAAGCTTACAACACAAGCAGTGCCAAACAAACTGAGGGAGCTATTACTTGACAAGTCCCTGGATCCTGATGGTCGTCTTCTTATGGTCTTAAAAGTGGTGGCTAATGAAGTAGTAGATCCATGGTGCTTTTTTTTTTTTACTAAATTCCATTTATACTTCCCACTGCCTCAGGAAAGCAGCCAATATAATCAAAGACCAATCCCACCCGAGTTACACTCTCTTCCACCCTCCTCCATTGGGCAGGAGATACAAAAGTTCAAAAACATATACCAGCAGATTGAAAAATAGTTTCTTCCCTGATGTTATCAGACTTATGAATGGGCCTCTCATATATTAGAGATGATCTTTCTCTGCACCTTCTCTATAGCTGTAACAATATTCTGCATTCTGTTCTATTACCCTGATGTACTTATTTAAGGTATTATTTGTCTGGTTAGCAGACAATCCAATATTTTTCACTATCTCGGTACTTGGGAACAATAACAAATCAAATCAAATCAAATCAAATCAAATCTGCCAGATTAAGTTTTCATATGACACAATGATAGTTGGAGGGACATCAGGGAGGCTGCAGAAGGACTTAGATAGGCTAGGAGAGTAGACAAAGAAGTGGCAGATGGAATACAATACGGGAAAGCGTGAGGATATGCACTTTGGTAGGAAAAATAGGCACATTGACTATTTTTTAAATAGGAAGAAGCTTCAGGAATTTCATGCATAAATGGACTTGGGAGTCCCAGTTCAGGAATCTCTGAAGGTTAACGTGCAGGTTCAGCCAGTGGTTAGGAAGGCAAATGCAATGTTAGTATTCTAGCGTTCTTGGAATGAATGCAAGAGCAGAGATTAACTGCTGAGGCTCTATAAGGCTCTGGTCCGATTACATTTTGAATATTGTCAGCAGTTTTGCATTTTGTATCTAAAAGAAGGATGCACTGGCTTTTGAGGGAGTCTACAGGAGGTTTACAAGAACAATCCCAGGGATGAAGGGTTTGTCATGCGATGTGCAGACAAGAACTCTACTACTGCACTCGATGGATTTTAGAAGGATGACGGGAAACTCTCATTGAAACTTACAGAAGACTGAAAGGCCTGGATAGAGTGGATGTGGAGAAGATGTTTCCACTAGCAAGAGTGTGTCTAGGACCTGAAGGCACAGCCTCAGAGTGAAGGCACAACTCTTTAGAACGGAGATGAGGAGGAATTTCTTCAGCGGAGGACTGTAGATTCTAGGTTACTGAGTATATTTAAAACAAAGATAGTTAGGTTCTTGATTAGTACGGAGATCGAAGGTGACAGGGAGAAGGCAAGACAATGATGTTGAGATACACATTAGCCACGATCAAATGGCAGAGCAGACTTGATGGGCCAAAAGGCCTAATTCTGCTCCTCTATCTGTTGGTCTTATGATGAGTCTGTCGGGTTGATAAGAGTGGATTCCCAAAAGGCTGTGTGCTGGTGCCTCAGCTTTTTACACTCTATACCAATAACCAGTGATTAATTATACCAGTGAAGGCATGGGAGCTAAATGTGCAGATGACATCAAGATAGGTAAGAAAATACGATGCAAAGAAGGCATAGGAGGTCGCAGACTGATAGAAGTATTTTGAATGCTAGACATGTGAAATAACATATCTGCTGAGGTTCTGCAGTATTTACTGTTTTAAATTTCATATTTCTAACAGCTGCACAGTCTTGCTTTTATATCACTTAAAATATAACGGCACGTCAGTTCAAGGAAAGCTCGCTGCATAAACATTGTCAACTTTTCTGAAGATATTTTATTCAAGTGCCTATTAAAGTATTGTATTGCAGTCTTACCAAATCTAATTATTTGAAGTTATTAAACAGCAACACTGCTGCTGGCTTTGCCTTTTTTCCAAAAAGCAAATGATAATGGATAACTTAAGGTTTTGGAGTAGATCTGTAGCTCGGGTTGTGGGTGTTCAGATTGGTTGGCTCGCCGAGCTGGTTTGTTGTTTCGCAGACATTTCGTTACCATGCTTGGTAACATCCTCAGTGCAGCCTCCGATGAAGAGTCGGTGTGTTTTCCCGCCTGGTTTTTAAAATCTGGGGTCCGTTGAGATGGATTGCCTCACTTCCGGGTTTCCTTCGTAGTGGAATGAATACGGGGTCGAGTTCAATGTGTTTATTAATAGCATGCTTCGCGGAGTGCCATGCTTCCAGGAATTCTCATGCTTGTCTCTGCCTAGCCTGTCCCAGGATCTTGGTGTTGTCCCAGT